GCAGGTCGCTGGTTTAAGAAGCGGCTCCGCTATATAGCAGCAGCGGCCCGCGTGGAACAATTTGAACTGCAATTACGAGGCATTGATCAGAGCCCCATTCAACCARGAATGGATGCTCTATCAGCCCCTGGGGTTAYTTATGCTATTGTTCACATACCGTCTGGCCGCACATATGTTGGGCAGACGACATATTCCGCTCACTATCGTTTACAKCAGCACTGGCACTCCCGCCATTCATCTCAAACGACACACTCACGCCATCGTTACCTCTATCACTCCATGGCCAGGCAACCTCCATTTCATTTTGTTGTCTAGCCCCTGGAGTGTATTGATCCACATCTCTATCTGAATGCTGATGGTTCCATTGATCCAAAATCATTTAAACGTGTTGCTGCTCCTCGTGAAGGGTTTTGGGTCCGACGCCTGTCCACGTTATATCCTCGGGGCTTTAACAGCGTCCTCCCACAAGGGCGATTACCGCCAGTCAGACGATCTCGTCGTCCGAACARGTGGATTTGTACRAGAGGCYGCCCRAATAGTCCTGCTACCCGCCCTGYAGTGCAAACTTCKGCTGATAGGCCCTKCACGATTGACACTGCCCCGGGWMCCTTCTTTGCTGTGCGCTCAGCCCTGCATCGCATGCTCACACAGGCAGCCAACTCGGAATGGGAATCCATATCTCGTGCCCTCTCTCAAGCCAGCTCTGCCTGGCGCTCTCGCTTGTTGCAATGGTTGCTAACGAATGTCTCCAACTCTGAGCTCACATCGAACATTCGTCAACTGGAATGCATGATCCGTGGTCTGCAATATTCACGCCAACCATATCTCAGCCTTGGACATAATGGGGCTCAATTTTTAAATTTTATTAAGGTTATGCACATGCATCAGGTTGCTCGCACCACACAACTACGAGGCGTCCTTCGGCTACCAGAGGTCGCTGAATTACACCCACGACATGCTCTTGCTAAGGAGATACGCATCTATGATAAGATGGTGCCCCCCATTCGTGTCCAGTTCTGCAATTTTACAGAAGTGGCACTTACCATAACAAGCAATATGCCTCTTCCAGACCCTGCCAATTGTCCCTGTCGACAAGCGTTTCCACATTGTGCGGACATTGTTGATGGTCATGTAGCTACAGTGGACTACACTGTTATACAAGATACACACTTGCGGGCTCTCTTCTTTGAAGGCTCCAAGTACCGCCTCAATGCCAACACCACAGATGTGATGAAAGCATTGAAACTCGGCCTGGATGAGTATATTGCCAAGTTCATAGTAGCCATGAGATCAGCACGCAACAATGAGTCTCTAATTGCCGACAGTCTCTCTCAGCTGTGCAGATGGCGCACAACAATTCTTTCAAGATGCCAACGGAATCTATCTACGTCACAGTACCAAGCACCCACTCAAGCTGCCTCGCGTGCTGCTAATACATCTCTACGGCAGCTACAACAGCAATTTGCTATAGTGCCTGTTGATAAAACATTGCACACCATGGCAATCTGCTGCAAGCGCTGGTACGGGTATAAGTTATCACAACACCTTGATAGTCCTACCTACGATTCAACATCGGAATCTGTGGCCAGCATCCTTGACCACCATGCGTTTTTCAATCAGCGTTGGGGCTATCGACATACTGACACCCTGCCCTATCTCTACTTTGCACTTAAAGCACATAAATCCCCGCCTGATCTTCGCCCAATTCTCGGTGTTACTCAACAAAACAACCTTTCTCAGTCTTCACTTAGCACAATACCTCGCCAGTCTTCGGTCTCCAGTTTGCATAACAGACCCCCTCATAAGCCTCTTGCCAGTACAACAATGGCCTCCCGCTCACTTAGCTATGCTCTCCAAGGCGTGATCAATTCTCTGCGCAGTAAGGACAATGAGCTTTATCAAGAAGTAGGTGTACGACGTTGTTGGATCGTACAGAGTGCTGAGGAAGTCATCTTAGATCTCAAGCAAAATGCACCATCCCTTCGAGGTTGTATGCCCCATACGGCAAATTTCACAACCATGTACACTAACCTGCCACATGATAGGATTCTTAACAATGTCCTAAATGCGGTTCGTGAAGCACATGATTACGCCTTGTTGCGTATCCCGCAGGGAAGAAGGCCAGTACAAATGTACATGACTGTAGGAGGTCCGCATCGCGGGGAGTGGGTTACTTCACATGGATCAGACACCCTTTCCGTGTCAGAGATACAACAACATCTGCGGTTTGTGGTGTCG